AGATGAATGATCCCTGCTTGGTGCTGGTATAATAAAGTAATTTAATTTTGGACATTGATTAACATCTTAATTCAGATGCTGGGATCCTTTTCTATCCAGGTCACCTCATGAGAATTTGTTGAGATAAATTTCATAAGCCAACAAGGAAAGTGTTTGCTCAAGAACAGGGGAACTGCAGCATGCTGTTGCTTACAAGTGCTTTCCTTTTTGACTTCAATCACTTGGTCAGTAGCAGAACGAACTTCTTAGCCTTTAGTCTGTGCTATTAAATCTGAGACACTTGAGATAGTCAGAGGACCCTTTGCTGCTGACTTGCTTCATACATAAGGGTCTCCAACACGTCTTTCATGGGAGAAGAGGAATAAGGAGGCACCAAATTCCTGTGCCTAAATTCTTGTTCTTGAAGGAAGTGTCTGTAGACAATTCATATGATGTAATGCTCGTACAAGTAAGGGCAGGATCCTACCGTTCCCTCCACATCTCTTTCTAGAAGCAGCTCCCTTCAGGTATTTGAACAGTAAATACGTGTTCTGCCAGTGGGACTTGCTGTAGTATAAGGTAATGTTCAGTGGGAGTCAAGGTGGACAGCCAGTCTATATTACCTAAAATTCACACAGCACCAGTGCCTCAGACGAAGTGCATGTGAGTGCATTTTATTAGTGCATGTGAGAAACAGCAACATTTTTTGTAATGTTTTTGTTAAGCAAAGTCATTATCTATGGCTTTCCTGCTCCTTGCACTCAACATAAGGGGAGGGGAGTGTTTTTTGCCCAGACATTTGTGAGGCCTTTCTTTTATTCTGATCTATCCAAAGAGCAGGTCTGGAGTCATTTAAGTCAGCTCTTTAGAAAAGAAGGTTAAGATTAGACTGTGTTAGAAAATGTTTTGTGTACTTTATATTGATTTGTCTTAATTGCCTAAAATGCAAGTGAATTGTTATAGATGGATGGAAGTGTGTATAAAGTCCCTGCAGAACGCAGGGTCCCAAACATTTTGTGCTTCTACTGGGATGACACCAAATTAATCTTTTGTTGTGGAATGATTTATAAGGTTTTCTAGGTAGAATTGTCTACCTTGTCACATTTTCAAACCTCAAATATGTAACCCTTTTAGCAGGGTCTCTAGTGGGGCTAGTACAGGTTGCAGACCAAAGAAGCTAAAGAGTGTCCTTAGAGTCATCTAGTCCAAGCCTTTGCTAAATCATTTTTATTTCATGGAGGAACCGACAGACTCAGCAGCAGCACAACAGGTCATAAGGCACATCTTCTAGTAGATTTTGGTTAGCATGAGGAAAATACTCTTTAACTACTGAGAATATCTGCTACGTTGCTTAGCTTGTGGCTCTGGAAGTCCCTGGTTAACGCTTCATTCACAGGTACCTCTGTAATGCTACCTAGCACTGCAGAGCTATAGCAGAAGCTTTGGAAATAACAGGCGCATTACTCTCCTTTTCCTTCCCCTGCCTTTTCTTTTGTTGTATTTTCAAGGGGCTGAAATCAGCAGCTCTCCAATCACCTACTTTGTCAAGTCTGTGTTAGGAAAAAGTGTCTGTCTTTCCACAAAGTTAAGAGGCATCATGTTCACAATGGCACCTTCTTATTGTTTTAAAAACTGGAATCGAAGAGCTCTATTACTGACAGGAGGGAATACAAAAATACCAGTTAGAGCAATCCAATAGGGTCTGAGGCTGGCAGCAACTTTTAGCCTGTGAATCACTTGGAGCAGCAGCCTTGAATCACTCCTGCTAGCTGACAGATTGCTGTTCAGAAGGGGCCAACTCTGGTCTTGATGCAGTGGAGGACATGCTGCTGATTCCTGATATACAGAAGTGCAATTAGGACAAGAATCAGGCTCAAACAATTTCAAAGCCTCAGAGGACAGTGTCCAGTTGGGTAAGATGCCAGTTCTAGGCTATGTTTTGTCTCCTAACTTGTAGAAGGTGCGTTCCTACCCCCAGGCTTATGCAGTGGTGTTTCTGGACCACTAGAGCTATTAAAATGTGATGGTACAACAGAGTGTCCAGGCAAGATCATCACAGGGTAGGGGTGGCTTTTTGTTCTGTGTGAAGGAATTCACAACGGAGCCGCAGTACGAACATGTAGTGTATGTAGTTAGACTTTGGGAGAATGTTTGTATATGTCTCCACAGATATACGCAGGATATCTGGAAGTCCCTGTGTAAATATTGTCCAGTGTATTTTTATTTTCAAGAAATAGTATTTTGCCTTAGAAATATGTGTAAGGAAAGGCTGGTCAAGCAGCCTGTCTGACAGAAGACCCTCTTCATCTCCCACCCCAACCCAGTTTCCATCCCTGCCTCTAGCCAGGTTCTCAGTAAATGTCTTAGTCACAGCTAAGTGGCTGCAGCCTGAGAAGGCAGGTAGCAAAATGGGAAATGCTCTTCCATAAAGAAAGGCACGTCAGAATAAGCAGCTTATCGCCAATTCCTTCTAAAACATCCCAACTGTAACAGAAACAAATATCATATTGGCAATACCATAACGTTTGCATTCACACACCAGCTGTTACT